GGGTGGGAAAGGAATAGGGGAGGACTGGCTAGGAAGTGGATAGGGAAGTAGAAGAGAATAGGCGAAATAGAGGAAAGGAAGCATTAACGAATGGGGTAGAAGAGAATGATGAAGGAAAATGAGTAGAAGAAAAAGGTAGAAGAATAAAAGGGACGGGGATGTTGTAGGGATAGGTGGAATTGAGGTGGTGGATAATGGGGATAAGATGAAGGAAGAAAGAAGAATGAAGAAGAAAAGAAGAAGATGAAGAAGAAAAATAAAGAAGAAGAAGAAGAAGATTGAAGAAGAAGAAGAAGAAGAAGAAGAAGAAGAAGAAGAAGAAGAAGACGAGAGGTGTGGAGGAACTGGATGAGATAAAGAGAGATAGGAAACGGAATGACACGAAAACAGGAACAAAAAAGGGGAAAAGATTATGGATACAGAGGGAAGGAACATGGAAAGTAAGGAATGGAGAAAGAAAACTGAAAGACGAGGTACGTAAACAGCAGTGTGTAGCTTCCATTATCTGTCAGAAACTACAGCTGAAATATTGAGCTGTGAGGAAAAAAAGCTTAGTCCTCTCTCTCTCTCTCTCTCCTCTCCTCTCTCTCTCTCTCTCTCTCTCTCTCTGTCTCTCTCTCTCTCTCTCTCTCTCTCTCTCTCTTTCTCTCTCTAAACGAAAGCAAAAGATATACACCTACTTTCCTCCAGCTTTCACCAGCTAAATCTTCGGTCCATCACGCTAAGCCAGAGACATGGTTCATATATCATGCCTGAATGATGACACAAAGAGGCAGCTACAACTACAGCTAACTTAGCTGGCTGTAGGCTATCGTGTCGCTCTCTAACAAGTCTCAAGGAAATTGTTGGGCCGGACTATCGATGTAGGCTAAATGAGGGACTGAGGACCTCATTTAAACGAGGTCTGAGTCTGTGTTAACGAGGAACCGCAGACCATGTGTTTAAATAGTAATGTGTATGTTTGTTTCTTGTACGTGAATGTCCTGACTGGTACCTGCACTGTGAGTGTCCTCTTTACCTGGTACCTGCACTGGAAGTGTCCTTGACTGGTAACCTGCCACTGTGAGTGTCCCTTGATTGGTACCATGCACTGTGAGTGTCCTTGACTGGTACCTGCACTGTGAGTGTCCTTGACTGGTACCTGCACTGTGAGTGTCCTTGACTGGTACCTGCACTGTGAGTGTCCTTGACTGGTACCTGCACTGTGAGTGTCCTTGGACTGGTACCCGCATGTGGTGTCCTTGACTGGTACCTGCACTGGAGTGTCCTTGACTGGTACCTGCACTGTGAGTGTCCTTGACTGGTACCTACACTGTGAGTGTCCTTGACTGGTACCTGCACTGTGAGTGTCCTTGACTGGTACCCGCACTGTAAGTGTCCTTGACTGGCACCCGCACTGTGAGTGTCCTTGACTGGTACCTGCACTGTGAGTGTCCTTGACTGGTACCTACACTGTGAGTGTCCTTGACTGGTACCCGCACTGTGAGAATCCTTGACTGGTACCCGCACTGTAAGTGTCCTTGGACTGGCACCGCACTGTGAGTGTCCTTGACTGGTACCTGCACTGTGAGTGTCCTTGACTGGTACCTACACTGTGAGTGTCCTTGACTGGTACCTGCACTGTGAGTGTCCTTGACTGGTACCCGCACTGTAAGTGTCCTTGACTGGCACCCGCACTGTGAGTGTCCTTGACTGGTACCTGCACTGTGAGTGTCCTGATGGGACCTACACTGTAGTGTCCTTGACTGTACCCGCACTGTGAGAATCCTGACTGTCCCGCACTTTTAAGTGTCCTTGACTGGTACCCGCACTGTGAGTGTCCTTGACTGGTACCTGCACTGTGAGTGTCCTTGACTGGTACCTACACTGTGAGTGTCCTTGACTGGTACCCGCACTGTGAGTATCCTTGACTGGTACCGCACTGTGGGGTGTCCTTGACTGGTACCTGCACTGTGAATGTCCTTGACTGGTACCTACACTGTGAGTGTCCTTGACTGGTACCCGCACTGTGAGTATCCTTGACTGGTACCCGCACTGTGAGAGTACTTGACTGGTACCCGCACTGTGAGTGTCCTTGACTGGTACCCGCACTGTGAGTGTCCTTGACTGGTACCCGCACTGTGAGTGTCCTTGACTGGTACCTGCACTGTGAATGTCCTTGACTGGTACCTGCACTGTGAGTGTCCTTGACTGATACCCGCACTGTGAGTGTCCTTGACTGGTACCTGCACTGTGAGCGTCCTTGACTGGTACCTGCACTGGGAGTGTCCTTGACTGGTACCCGCATTGTGAGTGTCCTTGACTGGTACCTGCACTGTGAGTGTCCTTGACTGGTACCTACACTGTGAGTGTCCTTGACTGGTACCCGCACTGTGAGTATCCTTGACTGGTACCCGCACTGTGAGTGTCCTTGACTGGTACCTGCACTGTGAATGTCCTTGACTGGTACCTACACTGTGAGTGTCCTTGACTGGTACCCGCACTGTGAGTGTCCTTGACTTGTACCCGCACTGTGAGTGTCCTTTACTGGTACCCGCACTGTGAGTGTCCTTGACTGGTACCCCACTGTGAGTGTCCCTTTTTTACTTTGGTCCCTGCACTGTGAGTGTCCTTGACTGGTACCCGCACTGTGAGTGTCCTTGACTGGTACCTGCACTGTGAGTGTCCTTGGTGAAGCTTCAATTTGTAAACAAAAAAAGATAATCTATCGAACACCCGACTAATTGACCAGCCGACCAGCCGACCCACGACTAATGAGGTGGCCGACTCCACGACATGTTTAGTACAATGTTTTACGGGCTGCGGTACGACCTGTAAAAATTCTCTTTGTCGCTGAGGGGAGGAAGAGAGAGAGATGAGAGAGAGAGAGGAGAGAGGAGAGAGAGAGAGAGAAGAGAGAGGGGAGAGAGAGAGAGAGAGAGAGAGAGAGAGAGAGAGAGAGAAAGTTATTTGGCATAGGCTTGTGTATTACAGACAGGCTGTAACAAGACTGTAATGACCGATGCACTCTCTCTCTCTCTCTCTCTCTCTCTCTCTCTCTCTCTCTCTGTCCCCTCTGTCTCTCTCTCTCTCTCTCCTCTTCTCTCTCTCTCTCTCTCTCTCTCTCCTCTCTCTCTCTCTCTCTCTCTCTCTCTCTCTCTCTCTCTCTCTCTCTCGACAAAAACAAACAAATACACTTTACTTGTGCCTTGTGTTCAAGATTTTGCAAATGTTCTCGTGGCTGACTCAGAATTCTGAAGTCCTGAATTCCTAACAGCTTACTTCTCAAGCCCTGAACTGAGTTCATACAAAGGCGTAGTTTTGACGCGGAATAGGTTTTAAAGCTGTACATTAGACCTTTCTAAAGGTGCATTATTGAAGGTTGAAGGAGCTTTCAAATGGTGCGCGAGTGAAATTCTGCAGAGCTCTCAAAGGTGCAGTTTTGAAGGGGAATAGAGCTTTCAAAAGTGCAGTTTTGAAGGGGAATAGAGCTTTCAAAGGTGCAGTTTTGAAGGGGAATAGAGCTTTCAAAGGTGCAGTTTGAAGGGGGAATAGAGCTTTCAAAGGTGCAGTTTTGAAGGGGAATAGAGCTTTCAAAGGTGCAGTTTTGAAGGGGAATAGAGCTTTCAAAGGTGCAGTTTTGAAGGGGAATAGAGCTTTCAAAGGTGCAGTTTTGAAGGGGAATAGAGCTTTCAAAGGTGCAGTTTTTGAAGGGGAATAGAGCTTTCAAAGGTGCAGTTTTGAAGGGGAATAGAGCTTTCAAAGGTGCAGTTTTGAAGGGGAATAGAGCTTTCAAAGGGGAACTTTTGATGGGTATAAAGCTCTTAAAAATAAATTTTTGAGAGGGAATAGTGCTTTCAAATGTAATTATTATTATTATTGGAAATAAATGGTATCAAATACCGACACAGTGGAAATATAAACACATATGCAGTATAATGTGATCCTTTATTGACAACGTTTCGCCCACACAGTGGGCTTTTTCAAGTCACACACAGATCTGTGTGTGACTTGAAAAAGCCCACTGTGTGGCGAAACGTTGTCAATAAAGGATCACATTATACTGCATTTTGTTTATTTTTCCATTATTATTATTATTATTATTATTATTATTATTATTATTATTATTATTATTATTATTATTATTATTTTTTATTATTATTATTATTATTATCATTTTATTATTATTATTATTATTATTATTATTATTATATTATTATTATTATTATTATTATTTTATTATTATATTATTATTATTATTATTATTATTATTATTATTATATTATTATTATTATTATTATTATTATTATAATTACTGTTGTTGTCATCAAGCTCACCGTTCACCACACTATCCCCTCCCCCCTCCTCAACAGCAAGGAGGGGAGTGGGAGAGGGGGGAAGAAGGAGAGGGGGAGAGGGGGAAGTCCATTACTGGCAATTAGTAGCCTGTGTCGGATACAACAACGGGCGACACGCGAGCAACGGAAGCAGCAAACAGTAGCAGCAACAGCAGTGAGGGGCACCCCCCTCCCCCACTTACCTACCCACACACACACACACACACACACACACACATACACACACACACACACACACACACACACACACACACACACACACACACACACACAACACACACACACACAGAGGCCAGAACTGAGGATCCTCCCGACCAAACAATACCAGGGAGAGCAAACAAGAAGAAAGAATAAACAGGCGATTGCGAAAGCAAACAAATTACCACAAAAGACAAAAGCAAACAAGGAAATAAAAAAAGATGAAAGAAAGGAAGAGAAACAAACAATTAACAAACAAACAAGAAAGCAGGCAAACAACTCACTATATGAGTATACAACCCACAAATTATTATTATTATTATTATTATTATTATTATTATTATTATTATTATTATTATTATTATTATTATATTGTACTAATCACCATCACACACCGTCACTACAATCACCACTACCACCATCGCAACCACCACAACTAACCTTCCACTTGTATGGTATTCACAGTTATGATGCACGGTGGTGGCGGAGGAGACAAACAAGACAGTGAAGTGATCCATCCCACGAGACATAGAGATCTCGTCACGTACGACCACCAAGTCCTCGACGGAGAGATGTTCCTGCAGGTAAAGTCTCTAGTTTAAAGTAGAAGAGAGGGACACAGAGAGAGATGCTGTAGTATTTGAAAGTAGAACAGAGGGAGAGAGAAGATAGGGAGAGAGAAAAGACACGTCTTTCTTTTTTAAAGCAGGAGAGAGAGAGAGAGAGAGAGAGAGAGAGAGAGAGAGAGAGAGAGAGAGAGAGAGAGATTTTTTATGAGAGAGAGAGAGAGAGAGAGAGAGAGAGAGAGAGAGAGAGAGAGAGAGAGAGAGATTTTTTTATCATACAATAAAAGAGAGGTAGACAGAGAGATGTCTCTCTCTTTCTATTATAAAGTCAGACAGAGACAGACAGACCTTCTTAAAGGTAAAAATCTCTTTAATACCAGCAGCGAGAGACTTATCCCTTGTCGTCTTGTGTCGTCCCTGCTGTAGAGATTCTGAGGACGTAACGAGTGTTGAGCGAAACGTTGCTAAAGTTAAAGATTCTTAAACACGATGCTGTTGATGTTTACAATAAAATAAGAGAGAGAGAGAGAGGACAGAGAGACAGAGAGAGAGAGAGGAGAGCGAGAAGAGAGAGAGAAAGAGCAATAGACGGAAAAGAAGAGGGAGAAGGTACCTAGGCAGGCAGAGAAGGGAGATAGGAAGAGAGAATGTGGGACGAGGAAATAGGGAGAGGAGGAGAGGGGGGGGAGAGAAAGGAGGTGGGGGAGAGAATAGACGGGGAAAACAGAGATTGAACACTGGTTCAACTCTCACGAACTGTTCAACCATCGTTTAAAAAGTAGATAATGTGGGAATTAATATTTAAAATATCACGTGACACCTGTTCAACGATTGTGGTAGACGGCGATGATGGTAGTGGTGGTAGTAGTGGTGGTAGTGGTGGTAGTAGTGGTGGTATGTGGTGGTATAGTGTTAGTAGTGGTGGGTGGTAGTAGTGGTAGTAGTGGTGGTGGTAGTAGTGGTGGTGGTAGTAAGAATAGGAAAGAAATAGGGTAAAATATAACTTCGACTCCTTAAAAGAAAGGATGCAGTTAGTAACCTATTAAGGCAGGGGGGCGACAAACCCACTGCCTAGCAGGATCTCTGTGGCTAAAAGAAAATCTAGACATTAACAAGCATATTATTATTAGATTTTGCTATTATTATTATTATTATTATTATTACTACTACTATGACATAACAATAATAACATTATTATTACTTATTATTGTATATTAATTTATTATTATTGTTATTATTATTATTATTATTATTATTATTATTATTTTGTTGTTGTTGTTGTTGTTGTTGTTGTCGTTGTTGTTGTTGTAGCAGCAGGGAGTATACAGGTCAGGGAGAGCCAAAACTTTCCCTGTAACTCATCTCAAGATATTCTAAATCCGGATTCCCGGCTCGACCTTAATGACAGAATTCTCACGAACTCTATCAGAATAAATTCCCCCCGGGAGTTTTAACACCGAAAAATAAATTAGAAGATATAAACGAGGGTATATAAAAGTATGTATTAGAGCGAATGGCTAAAAAAAAGTACACTTTTATAATATTTTTTGATGATATATTTAAAATATTATATAAGATATATAATATATATATATATATATATATATATATATATATATATATATATATATATATATATATATATATATATATATATTAATAGATAGATTATATATATAATTGTAACTACGAACGAGTGTTATTGAATCAATAATAACACTGCGACTAGCCGAGGATTCGAACCCATGTCGTTTTGGCCCGATAGTCGATAGGAATATAATAGAATCATGTTTCATAAAAGCAAAAATCAAAAAGGGATTATGAGGCTAAAGTCACATGGGATTATAGGACTAACCCAAAAGAATTCTTTCAGGTATACAGAAGTAAGATTAGGGACAAGACTGTCCACTTACGGGTATCTCAGATCAGATCACTGACAGTGATGAAGAAATGTGTGAAGTTTTTAACACTTACTTCCTCTCAGTTTTTACTCAGGAAGATACTAGCGAAATTCCAGAAATAATTAATTATGTAGAACAGGACGATAATAAACTATGCACTGTTAGGGTAACTAGTAATATGATCCTCAGACAAATAGAGAAATTAAAACCTAACAAATCCCCAGGTCCTGATGAACTGTTTGCAAGGGTGTTAAAGGAATGTAAAGATGAACTTAGCAAATCTTTGGCTAAGCTTTTCATCATATCACTACAAACTGGCATAGTGCCTGATAAATGGAAAACAGCAAATGTAATACCTCTTTACAAGGCAGGTGACAGGTCCTTAGCTTCGAACTGTAGACCAATAAGCCATACCTCCATATTGGGAAAACTTATGGAATCAATAATTGCCGAGGCAATTCGTAGCCATCTTGATAGGCACAGATTGATTAATGAATCTCAACACGGTTTTACAAAGGAGCGTTCCTGTCTTACGAATTTACTAACATTTTTTTTACTATGGTATTTGAAGAGGTAGATCATGGTATTGAATATGATATTGTGTATATGGACTTCAGTAAGGCTTTCGACAGAGTTCCACATCAGAGGCTATTGAGGAAACTTAAGGCACACGGAATAGGAGAAATTTTTTCCTGGGTAAAGGCATGGTTGACAAATAGGCAGCAGAGAGTATGTATAAATGGGGAGAAATCAGAATGGGAGCACGTCACAAGCGGTGTTCCGCAGGGGTCGGTGTTGGGTCCTTTGTTGTTCACAATTTACTTAAACGACATTGATGAGGGAATAAATAGCGACATAAGCAAATTTGCTGATGACACCAAAATAGGTCATTCAATTCATTCTAATGAGGACATTAGAGCACTCCAGGATGATTTGAATAGACTGATGCAGTGGTTGGAAAAGTGGCAGATGCAGTTTAATATAGACAAATGCAAAGTTCTAAATGTTGGACAGGAAAATAACCATGCCACATATAAACTAAATAATATAGATCTTAATATTACTGATTGCGAAAAGGATTTAGGAGTTCTGGTTAGCAGTAATCTGAAACCATAATAACAGTGCATAATTGTTCGCAATAAAGCTAACAGAATCCTTGGCTTCATATCAAGAAGTATAAATAATAGGAGTCCTCAGGTTGTTCTTCAACTCTATATATCCTTGGTTAGGCCTCATTTAGGTTATTCTGCTCAGTTCTGGTCTCCGTATTACAGAATGGATATAAATGTTCTGGAAAACGTACAGAGGAGGATGACAAAGTGGGTAGGGTGTGGGTGGGTGGGTGTGGGTGGGTGTGGGTGGGTGGGTGTTGGTGGGTGTTGGTGGGTGGGAGTGAGTTGGACCTGACTAGCTGGTGCTACTAGGTCAGACGCCGTGCGCCTTCCTTAAGTGAATATTACCTGACCTGACTAGGTTATGGCGTTGGTTTAAGCCGGTAGAAGAACTGGACCTGCCTCGCATGGGACAGTAAGTCTGCTGCAGTGTTCCTTCTTTCTTATGTTCATATAAAAAGCAGTTTTGAAAATAATATGAATATTTATTTTGGTATATATAAACTGGACTCTTTTATAATTAAACAAATTTGGGATGAATTTAATGATGCATCAGACAAGTAAAATATCTTAATGCTTGGGTAGAGTATCAGGTGTTTCATAGAGTCGGGTGTTGTCACGCGACTGTGAGGTGTAGTCTTGTTGTAGTGACACAACTGTGAGGTGTAGTCTTGTTGTAGTGACACGACTGTGAGGTGCAGAATGTTGTAGTGACACGACTGTGAGGTGTAGTCTTGTTGTAGTGACACGACTGTGAGGTGTAGTCTTGTTGTAGTGACACGACTGTGAGGTGTAGTCTTGTTGTAGTGACACGACTGTGAGGTGTAGTTTTGTTGTAGTGACACGACTGTGAGGTGTAGTCTTGTTGTAGTGACACGACTTTGAGGTGTAGTCTTGTTGTAGTGACACGACTGTGAGGTGTAGTCTTGTTGTAGTGACACGACTGTGAGGTGTAGAATGTTGTAGTGACACGACTGTGAGGTGTAGTCTTGTTGTAGTGACATGACTGTGAGGTGTAGTCTTGTTGTAGTGACACGACTGTGAGGTGCAGTCTTGTTGTAGTGACACGACTGTGAGGTGTAGTCTTGTTGTAGTGACACGACTGTGAGGTGTAGTCTTGTTGTAGTGACACGACTGTGAGGTGTAGTCTTGTTGTAGTGACACGACTGTGAGGTGTAGTCTTGTAGTGACACGACTGTGAGGTGAAGAATGTTGTAGTGACACGACTGTGAGGTGTAGTCTTGTTGTAGTGACACGACTGTGAGGTGTAGTCTTGTTGTAGTGACACGACTTTGAGGTGTAGTCTTGTTGTAGTGACACGACTATGAGGTGTAGAATGTTGCAGTGACACGACTGTGAGGTGTAGAATGTTGTAGTGACACGACTGTGAGGTGTAGTCTTGTTGTAGTGACCACGGGACTGTGGGTGTAGTTAGTCTTGTTGTAGTGACACGACTGTGAGGTGTAGTCTTGCTCTTTATATGCCTTCCTGTTCATGTTTTGTTTTTTATAGCTCCTTGATCATGTGAAAAGTCACGAAAGTGCCTGGAATTTCACTATTTTTTCACAGTGGTTGTTCTGAACACACACACACACACACACACACACACACACACACACACACACACACACACACACAAACACACACCACACACACATATTATATATATATATATATATATATATATATATATATAATATAATAAAATATATATTATTATATATATTATTATTATTATTATTATTAATGATGTTGAAAAAGGTGGATATAACTGCAAGATGCAACAGACAAAAATATGATAATCAGAGACGTTATCAAGAAACTTTACCTCCTTCTCCTCTTCCTTCTTCCTGGTGTCGCGTGCCTGTTTTAATCTGTCAACGGAGGGGGGGAGAGGGAGGGAGGGAGGGAGGGGGGAGGGAGGGAGTGGGGATTCTGGTGACTCTATGGGTGAGAGCATGCTAAGTGTTTGCACCCACGACACCATGCCACGTGGTGGCATCCA